AGGAGGAGAAGAAGAAGAAGAAGAAGAAGAAGAAGAAGAAGAAGAAGAAGAAGAAGGAGCCCATATTGTTATTGTGTAGTGTGATTCCATGCAGAGTGATGGAGAGGCCAGCCATATGTTGCTATTTCTTACATTGTGGTCCATGGACTACTGAGGCCATGGTGATTTTTGTACTGTACCTCTCACAGGAGCTGTGTTACCTTTTGCTTGCAGATGCGATCACCAGCCAGTGAGACGTTCGTCCTCCGTTATCGCTTCATGCGCTGGCTCGTCGCCTCATTTCCTCCCTTGTGGACTTTTTTCCTACGAAACAACCCAGGGTTCGCTTTAGCAGTCAACGAAGATGGGAAGCCTGTTATGGCGGTGATGAATTGGAGCAAGGACCACTTACGGATGGTCACTACAGCCAGGGAGTATGGAGGCTACCTCTATCTGGGCAACTTAATGTGGAATTATTTGGCCAAATTTAAGCTCACAACTTGAAATATAATTGAAATATATTGGCCATCAGAAAAGAGGGTTTATACCCTTGATGAAATCCTTCTGCCTCATGGTTCTATGAAGGTAATAAACGGCGTACCCATGCGGCCATGAATGGAGGAGGCTACCTTTATCTAGGCAACGTACTGATCAATTATTTCAATTTATTTGGCCAAATTTAAGCTCCCAAATTGAAATATTGGCCATCAGAAAAGAGGAGTTATAGAGAAGAAAAAAAAAAGAAAAAAGAAAAGAGGAGTTATACGGAACTTATACCTGATGAAATCCTAGTCGATGGGTCGTGAATCTCGCATGATCCGATTGGCGTTAGCGGCGTGTACCCGTGTGGCCATGAGTGATGGTGTACGGCTGTCATATGTGCATGGCAGCTCTACCATTTCAACGCCAGCAGGTGGGAAGCGGCGCCCCCCCTCCCACCCACCCCCCTTTTGTTGGCGAGGTAAGAAATATTGGCAAATACTTGACACCCCTCCCCCCTCCCCCCCCTCAAAAACAAACACAGGAAAAAACAACAACAACAACAACAACAACAACAACAACAACAACAACAACAAACAGAGGATGGTTAACAGTGGCTGGTGATGCCAGAGCAGTTTTGAGTTTTTTTTTTTTTTTTTTTCGGCCCAAAAAACTGGAAATGTATGTGTGCTCTTCTTTTCCTGAAGGGTCAACCAAGACCCCTGTAGCCATGGAATGTGGGTACTTTTTTGGGAAGTTATTGTGCATGTTCTGCTCTTCCTTCATGCAGAAAGCGTTTCATTGGGCCTTCCCAGATCTCAGAGTGTCATCATATGTCCTGATTGCATCATTTCTTTTCAGTTTCTTTTCGCTGTTCCTCTTTTTTTTTTCTTTTTTTTTTCCGAAGGACGACGCCCTCAAAAACTGACCGTCTCGGTCAGGTAACTTCAACAGTGATTCACTCATCACTCTGGATACACCCATTAGCTTTATCAAATGACATAGGGATTCGAACCGGGGTCTGTCATTTGAGCAGCTCATGGGGAACAGGAAAAAGAAACTGAAAACAAATGCAATCATTTCAAAGTGGGGTCTGAGCTAAGGCCGATCTTTTATTTTGTTCTGCTCAGTTCTTTTCTTTTCTTTTCTTTGTGTTGCCTATCGTAGCTTTGTCGGCGAGCTAGGGAAAGTTGAAGATCATATATCTGCAATCAGACTCGCATACTTCGTCACTTCACATGCATACAAACAGATGGTGAATCACACTGGCGCTTAGCGCCCAACTCAAAGCTCGAAGATATGGAAACCAAGACACAGTTCAGATATAAGCTCGCTTCAACAGACTATGGTGCATCAGCACCCACACATCGCAACTCTCATCACTGTGTCCAACACCACTGTTCACTTCACACTTCAACTCCGGATCACCCTGGATACCCCACGCACACACTCTGCACACAGTGTCACACGAATGCACACCTACTACTAACTATGGCAGCTATGGCCGCCAGCTAACTCTACTCTACAAGCAGCTATGGCTGCGCTAACTCCCTCTAGCCCACTTCAACTTCAGGCTCCTCTGCAGACCACCTCGCACAAGTCACCGTGGCAGCGCTTCCACATGGCTTCCGCAGGAATGAATGAATGGATGTGCGCTGCCTCTTGATTAAAACTTCTGTAACTCGTTGGTCTGCCCCTTTCCATCGGCCCATGGGACACAGTCCCCCATGGTACTTGCTGGACTGGACTGGGACCGACTGGACTGTACCGCTGACTGCATGGGGACGCACTGCTAACCTACCGCTATCGTACTGCGAACGTACTGCAGTTGGTCCACCACTTGCCCACTTGCCCACTTGCCCACTTGCCCACTTGCCTCAGTCTAAAACGTGAGCAAGCTGCGAAAGGCCACTTCCGGATCTTCCGGAAGTCTGTGGACTTGGCCTTTCGGGACTGTAGCAGCTACGACCTTGACCTCTCAGGACTGTAGCAGCTACGACTTTGACCCTTCAGGACATCTACAGCTATGACTTCTGGAACTCTCTAAGACCTCTACTCGACAGGTCTACAGATCGAATCCCTATGTCCACACAGTCCTACGACAGACAAACAACAACTCACGAAACACAGGTCACGGGTTCAAGCACTCAAGGGTCAACTCGATACTGTACATTGGTGAGGATAGATTTGGGGATCAAACCCCGGGATCTGCATCTGCCTCTGCAAAGGTGAAAACCGTTTCATATCAAAGAATAAAAATAAATAAATAAATAATGAAATCAATTCAATTCAATTCAAAATTTCAAATCATTTATATTCTTTGTTATCCATCAACTTTGACGGATATACCATCTGATGTCATTTCATCCTTAGACTTATAGTAACCAACTCAGGTAGTGGCAAGAGGAATAGGATGATGCTTCCCACCAATAGATGGAGCCTCCCCCCCCGGTGCTACCTAGTAGTGTCTGCTCTTATCAGCACCACTAGCTCGAGAGTGTAATAAATAAATAAAAAAAAAGAAAAAAAAAGGATGAGCGTCTTTTATAGCGACTGGTCTAGCTCAGTTGGTACACCTGCGAACTGTTACAACACAGACCTGAGTTCGAATTCCGGGTTGGAAATTGGAATCAGACGAGTGAAATTTACTCCGAGGACAGTTAGCTCAAACTTCAAAGATGATATTTCAAGGCCGGAAAGCCCTTCTTTTTTTTTTTAACCTCAGAAGAAAAGCATTGTCTTTCCTTTTTTTTCTATTTCAACTTTTGTCTATCACATAAAAGGTCGACCTCAGTGCGACTCTGCCCAGGGTATTACAGTCAAGCTTTTTTTTTTTTTTTTTTTTTTCCCCAGAATGTTCAACAGTTGTATGCAGGAAAATAAGTCCAACTGTGCTGTTTCTGAGCTTCAAAAAGCATCCCAATTTGGCATGAATTATCAATATTCAAATACTCAAATATTAAGGTGGATTATCACCTACAGTGTAATCAGTTATTAGGAGATTCGGCAGACTGTTGAGGGTTCAGCCTCCTCCTGATAAGTCTGTTGGTGAAACTCCGACCAAACAGTTTGTCACAGCCCCTTGTTTGTTGTCATCTTCTCCCTCTCTGCTTACGGTTTACCGGGCAGCTCTGTTTGACGATATATATGTATATATATTGATATATAGTCAAACATATATATATGCCTCCTGCAGACAGTCCAGCTGCTTGCACACAGCCACAGCACCATGTTTTATGCCCTTCCATGTTCGTTTGTCCCCCAGCTGTGCAACAGGATATGGTCCCTGCCCAGAGTACACTCCCAACGACAGTCCCTACTCACGATGTGGCCCCGAACGCTGAGGGCCTGGGACATGATCAGCTCGGACTGCATTTAACCCCGCAAGGCATAGACCACACGGGAGATTTGCAAATCGCTGACCAGGATCATATGGATGAACCGCGTACTTGTGCCCCACCCTGTGTGGCCCCGAACGCTGAGG